CCTTGTTGTGGGAGTTCTCTGAACTTCCTGGGATTCTATGCCTATTTCTTTCACCAGCTTAGGGAAGTTTTCCATCATTTTTTCTTCAAACAGCTATTCAACATCTTGTTTTCCTTCGGGTACGCTAATGAGACAGATATTTTGACCCTTAATAGTGTTTCATAGGCTCATTATTTTTATAGTTTTGGCATCTTTTTTCTTGCCATTCTGACTGAATGTCCTAATTGGCTTTCCTGTCCTCTGGATAGGGCATTTGATCCTCTTCTTTATTCACTTTGTTTATTCCATTTAATATACTCCCCATCTCAGATAATGTATTCTCCATTTCAGACTCGTTCCCTTTTATAATTTCCATTTCCATTTTTATCCCTTTGTTGGAGTTCTCTACACTTCTCAAAAGTTCATTGAGCATCTTTATAACTAGTGTTTTGAACTCTGCGTCTGTTAGAGTACTTGACTCCATTATATCTGGATTTCTGTTCTGTTCTGTCATATGGTTTCTGCTTCTTTGTCTTCCCATTTTGGCTACCTTTCCGTGTCTGTTTCTATGTACTAAGCAAAGCTCCTAAGTCTCTCAATCTTATTAGTGTGGATTCATGAAGTAGGTATCCAGTGGCACAGCCTTGAGAGGGGTTCAGTTACAGGCCATATGTAGCTCAGGCCTCTACCCCTCCAGGGCCACCTGTTAAGATTCAGCAAGTAACCCACAGATTCTGTGCTTATAGTTGCTTCAAAAGGCCACACCAGAAACCGAGGCTAGTTGCCTCCAGTGTGAGTCTAGGCGCTGCTCAGCAAGGAGCACCTGACTCGCTGAGGACACACTTGGATGTGGCTTGGGTTGGGCCCGAGTTGGGGTAGGCGGGGTTTCAGAGAATCCTCTGGGTAGAGTGACCTGTAATCCAATTTGAGGATGTCACAGCTGTGGCATGCTGTGTCCAAACACAAAAAGCTAAAATAACTTGAGAAATAGTCTAGTACAACCCCTAACAATTCTATATTTTATCTCATAAATAAAATTCTCATTTATAAATGCTCAAATGTTGTTTACTGGGCAGTTCTGGAATAAGGTAGGGGGAGGGCTCAACAGGGAACAATGGATACCGCCAGCACTTCTGTAGTAAGTCTCGCCTCGGCCCTCACTCCAACAATGTCTCCCTGTAAGTCTCTGGTGCCTCTGCGTGCAGCCCAACGGGAACTGGTGCTCAGAGCAAGCAGGTCAGTCACCGCGAAATTCCGCTCCCAGACATGGCCCCTTTAAGAGGCATCTGCCAGTGCCACGGCCTCCGTCTCACTCAGCAACTCGAGACTGGGTAGCCCCGCATCCTTGCCCTGTCCTACCTTCTGTCATTGCAGGGTGCTTTCTTGGATTTTTCCCTAGTTGTGTGGCTTGTTCATCTAGATCCTAGGTGATTTTTCCTTGCTGCTGCTCCCTGTTTCCATCACAACTTTGATTTGGTTATCAGCGGGATGAACAGAGCATCCATCATCTATGCCACTTTTTTCTCCTCCTCACAACTTTTTAAATCTAAGTCTGAGCTTCCTCATCTATAAAATGGGGAAAATTATAGTACTATGTGATATGATTGCTACAAGAATTAAATGGGGTAAAATGTGTACAAGCACTTAGAAAAATGCCTGATATGGTAATCACTCAACAAATGATGTGTTATTATTATCATCATTCTTTCAAAACACCATTACAGTGGGGAAGATAAACAATAAATTAGACAGAAAACAAAAAAGTATATAAAGGAGACATTATTTGTATTATACTCATGCAATTATTTTAGGTATTATATTTAATTGTACCACAATTAACATTGCTAAACTAAAAATTTAAAGGATTAAACCATGGAAATCCCAGTTCACATATCAAGATACAAACACAAAAAGCTAAAATAACTTGAGAAATAGTCTAGTACAACCCCTAACAATTCTATATTTTATCTCATAAATAAAATTCTCATTTATAAATGCTCAAATGTTGTTTACTGGGCAGTTCTGGAATAAGGTACCTAGGATGGCATACCAATAAATAAGTCAGAAATTCATTCAGAATAACTAACTTATTAATTCAAAATAAGTCACTTGACTAATAATTGTTCAACAAATTCACTGAATCTTGATAATAAATATAATAAGTAGTATTAGTAGTTAGGATGTGTTCATTTATTCATAAATGTTTATTAAGGGTCTGTTTAGCAGGTACTGTCCGAGGCATTGGATAATAAATATTAAACAAAAATGGTTCCACTCATTAATGAGCTTACAACTAATAGAGAAGAGATAATTATGACTTTCAAAATTTACCATAGTGCAATAAAGAACTATAGTTATGACATAAGTATAAAATAGGGCATAAAGGAACACTTAGTCTTTTTTAGGAAGTTTATTCATTCTTTCATTTGTTATTAATATTATTAATTATAATCGTTAACATTAAGTTATCACTGAGAACCGATATGTGCCAGGCACTGTTCAAGGCAGATAGTATCAAGGTAAACAAACAAACAAAAAAACCAGAAAAATCCCTGCCTACATGGAGTTTACATTCTGGTGGGAAGAGATGGATAGTAAACGTATAGAGAAGTAAAATATATAGTATGTCAGTTTGTAATAAATGGTATGAAGAAATACAAAGCAGGGCAAAGGCATAGAAAGTGCAAAGAGAATGAGAGTATAAAACAAATTTGTTGGTTTCTGACATTGCTTGAGAGTTTTTTAAAATCTTCTCAATATAATGAATATTTTCATTTCTCACATGATTTCCATGATAAAATTCTAAGATTCATGGCCCACTGTAGTTTGGATATTAGTTGTTTTCCAAGGAAGGCAATGAAATTGTGCTTATCAAATTACATCAACCTTTAAAAAAATCTGATTGCCAGTTAATTCAACATTATGGATGCCGCTAGGAAGCAGGGCAAAGCTGAGAGAATGGAAAATAGTGAAAAAGTGAAATAGTGAAAATAGAGTCAGGCAGAAAGGAGAGAAAAAAATGTAAAGGGAAGTAATGAGAACATTGACAACTGCTGACGCTTCTCTGAGACTTTGGCAACCTGAAGTTGACTACGTCTGAGACGGCTTCTGGCTGCCCCCTTGTGGCTAGTAGTACATCCTTCCGAGTCAATACGAATAAAATTTTATTTAAAATAATAAAGCCCCCCATACCGATTGCGCTGCATTTTTCCTGACCTCTCCCTCCTAATTTGGCAAAATCCGTTATTCTTAGAAGGCAAATCCTCTACGGTTCCCTGTCACAGGCTAGTTACAATTTGGCAATAGACTATCTCTATAATCTATAACCGAAAGAATATCATCTCAGGTACCCTTGGCCCATTTCTCCCTGCGGAATTGGTAGAAATATTCTGAAGCTCTGAATGTTACTTTAAAATGCACACATATTCTAGCATATACATTTCAAATATTTCATTGCCAACTATGCATCAGGCACTGAAGTACAATGGGAAGCAAGAACAGGCACCGGTACTGCTTCATGGAGCCTAGGGATTTGGGGAAAGAAATTATAAAGCAAGCACACGAATGTGAACAAACCTCCCGAGATAAAAAAAAAAAAAGGAGAGAGAGAGGTTTCTATGAGAAGTGCCGCCCCATTAACAACCAGGCAAAAGGAAGGAGCGACATCTTTTATGCCTTTTTCGGTTTACTGGGGCCTCGTGTGGCACTTGACCAGTCAGTCTCTCCAGTGAAGAAAGCAAGATAAATGACGGCCTGGGAGCCCAGGGGAGCGCGGGAAGCCGGGGCTGCGCCGACGCCGCCTCGCACTTCGCCTTGGTGTTCTCGCGAGGTCTGCACGAGCTCAGACGACCTGCGGTGCGTGCGCGGGGCGGCGGGCCGTTAGTGCGCTGCAGACCTGGCTGCGGGGCCCAGGGATGCCGCGGCTCCTGGGGCTGTGTCTGCTGTGGCTCGGGCTCCTGCTGCTGTGTAAGCAGAGCGGCAGCAGCAGAGCCAGGAGACTGTGCGGCAGGCACCTTCTGAAAGGAATAATAAAGCTCTGTGGCGATGCTGACTGGAGCCACATAGGGGTAAAAGCCCCTTTCACACAGCTGCCTTTCCAGGCAACGGGGAAGGTTGAAAGCTTCGTCCCCGACCGGTTAGAAAGCTCCCAAACCACTTTCCCAGCCTGGGGGAGAGGCACACGCTCAGGTAAAAATCTAAACCAAAGGCATGTTTGCTCATCTCTGTACATTTCTTATCCCTGAGTATGCTCTGCTAGATGGTGAGCTTCTCCAGGAAATGGAATTTGTGCCTAGTACACAGGTAAATAAAGAATTTTATAAACCAGTATATTGTGGATATAGAAAACTTCTAAAGCTTTTTTTTTTTTAACTTAGAGGAAATACATAGATACATATATGTCTACATATTTATGTAAGAATGCTGCTGCTTCCTAAGCTTTCCCTTTCTGGAGTACTGTCACCTGGTAAACTCCATAACTTAGGTATCATTTTACCTGTGAAGTCACTGACCCTTGCATAGCTACTCCATTCTCCACTTTACCACAGTTATTAACACTTAGTTCTATCTAACTATCATCATAATTGGCCTGGCCAGCTGCATAATTGGCCTGGCCAGCCCAGTGCAAGATGAAAATGCAAGACCCCTTGTTCAAAAAGTAGGAAAGAGTCATTAAAGTTACTAAAATATAAAGCTTTTTCCCTTTCTTGTGCGTATCTTCTCTGCTTACACATAGTCCACTGTCCCATCAGACTTCACATATGAGTTTCAAAGATAAAATTATTGAGAATTTCAAGACTGCAACAATAGAGCATTAAACAAAATGCAGGGTCCTTCTCAGCACTGAGTCTGTGCCACTGCACAAGCCTCATTCCCACAAAGCCAGCCTCCTACACCACACCATATAGTATAGAGACTATCTCAAGCATGTTTTTTATCTGAAATGGCTAGCAGAGAGCCTAGCACATTGTATGTGTGTAATATGTATTGAATTTATACTTAATGCTTTTAAGTAGTCCTTAGGAAGAATATTCTTGTTTCAGAGCTATTATCTTCCAACTATGTTTTTTGTGACTAACATTTTAGTTCTATTACACTTTGCCATTTTAAATGAAAATGCACTTTGTACGTGTGATTGAAATTATTGTCTTTTATAAGTAATTCAATTGATTTGACTTGGACAAATTTTACAAAAGCCAAGATTTCTGTAATTAAAGAAAGGACTACCATGCCAAAAAAGAGACCCTAATGTAGATGACTGAAACAAAGTGAAATAGTGGCTAGCACATTATAGGCACTCTTAACTTCTTTTTAATGAATGAATGAAACTTATTAGTGCTGCCAAGAGAATGAAAACTTGTAAAGACAAAAATAGAAACTATCAGACTGAATCTTGATCATTTTCCACCATCAAACCTACCTACATATAAACTCACTTTATCCTGCTCTTATAATGAGGTGTCTCTCCCTGAAGTCTTCCGCCTATACATTAATTCAGTGATTCGCACAGTTTAACGTGCGTATGAATCACCTGGGGAATACCATTAATATACAGATCTTGATTTAGTAGGTCTGGGTGGGGCCTGAGAGTCTACATTTTTACAAGCTCCCAGGCAATGCTGATGAAGCTAGTTAGATGATGCGTTTTGAGTAACAAGCATCTAGCACGCCTCTCTATCTCTGCCTTATTCTTTTCTCCCAGAAGTACAAGGAGGACCATCCCTTGCTACTTCATGTTGGGTGGGTTTTTCTCTCATATCACATACTGTGCTTTCACTACCTATGCTACAGTCAAAATTTTACTTTCAGACATCCAAGTTTGAGTTTAAAAAGAACTTGAAATCCCTTTTCTTGACAAAGCCTACTTAATTAAAAAAAAGTCAACTCTAAAACTCAGCTGATTAATAACCCCTTTGTAACAGATCATTATCCCTGGAGGAATAAGTGTGGCAATAAAGCCATGGAAGAAGGAAAAATTGGGTTTATAGGGAATATAAATGGAGGAAGGAAAATTGGGTTTAGATTATCAATATGAATTTGTATTAAATTTTTAAAATTATTAATCTATAAGAAAAGATGACATTTAATCTGTCTTATTAATTTCCAGTGAATAATTAGAAGTCGTAAAGAGGTGTTTCCAATATAGAATTTCAATATAGAATATATAATTATGCCATTGCTTTTACATATGAATGTGACTGAAAAGTTAACTTTTATTTAGCTTGTACCAGCAGGACACATTTAAGTATTAGATCAAGTCAATTCTCCATAATTTTAATCTTCTAATGATCTATTCGCATCTGACACAGGAAAAGATAGTTTGGTACACTGATATTCAAAAACTTTTTTCAGAGCTACTCATACATGACTTGAATCTGATATGTATTGAATTTATACTTAATGCTTTTAAGTAGTCCTTAGGAAGAATATTCTTGTTTCAGAGCTATTATCTTCAACTATGTTTTTTGTGACTAACATTTTAGTTCTAATACACTTTGCCATTTTAAATGAAAATGCACTTCTTCTTAGTGGATCATGAAGATATGGGCCGTGACTACAAGACCTACCCCAAAATGTGGCACCATGAAGCTGTCATCATATTTCAAAATTCTGGCTGAGTGTGATGCTTCCCAGCTCTTAGTGCCAAATGAAACTATTAAAGTTTCATCATCAGCTTTTTTATAATCCATAATGTCTATTCTAGTTAGATTGACCATATATTCCCCTATTCTTGGTCTTCATTTATTCTTAATTTTTGTTTGTTTTTTAAATATCATTATCAAAACGGGGCTGTGCAGGCCCCTTTCTATATATTAATTGAACAAAATTTGAGTGCCTATTATGTACTAGGTATTTTTCTTGGTGCTAGGGATATAAAACTGAACAGTGTCACTCAGGAGACAGGGAAGGCTCCTGCCCACATGAAGCTTACAGAAGAGTGAAAACAGACAATAAATATAAATGAATGATACAGTATGTTTGAAGATGCTTAGTCCATATATCTCCTTTCTCCACTCCATTCTCCTCCTCCCATAGAAAGCCATTCCAACGTGTTTATTAAGTATTTTGGTTTGTATGTTTTTGAGAATTGTACATAGTTTCTAATACATGTATTTTCAAAACACATCTACATCATATTTAAGACTTATACCTTATTGTTGCTATATGAACATTTAGTCCCTTGCTTTGAACTACTGCATAACATTCATATGCATTCCCCACATTTTACTCATTCTCTCGGCAGTGAACACCTAACCTATAGGGCCTTCAACCCCCTGCCATTATAATTAACACTGCAGTAAACCTCTTTGTATGTGTGTTCCCATATAGACCTGTGTGGGCATTTATCTGGGATATGTATCTAAGGGTAGAATTGCTATGTCATAAAATTATGTATGCTTAATTTGCTTGAGATGTATCAGATTGCTCTGCAGAATGGCTACACCAATTTATAGTTGCACCACCAATGCACGACAATTCCTATGTTCTCATATCCATGCCTATAGCATTATACAGTTTTTAACTTTTGCCAGTGTGATAGACATGAAATGCCATTTCGCTTTTATCTTGCTCTGTATTTGACACTTTTTCCTATGCATAATAGCCTTTTGGGTTTCTTTTCTCAGAAAGTTTCCTATTTATATATTTCACCAATTTTTTTATTGGAATTGTTATTTTCCACTTGATTTGTAAGAGTTTTTCAAAATCTAGATACAATAGTAATTCATTGTTGGTTTTTAGATATTGCAAATGTTTTCTCCCATTCTGTCATTTGTCTCTTGGTGTTGACAGCCTTAATTTGTATATAATTAGTCAATAAGTGTTTTTGCCTTATTGTTCACACTTTTGAGATTTGGTTTTAGAGGTCCTTTTCTGTATAGTTTTACTTTTTTTTTTTTTAAGGTAATTACTCAATCTTCTGGGGCCCATTTTTGGTTCTGTTCTGGCTAGGGATACTATCTTAGTTTTCTCAATAAGTCTTATTTTTCTCTACATGAGGAACTAGTTTCCTGAACACCATCTACTAAATAGTAATTTCTCCGCACTGATTTGTAGAGCCACCTTTACTGCTTGTTAAGTTTGTCCGAGCTTCCTATACTTTTTAATTCATCTTTATGTTTAACATTGTACCATTACTATACTGTTTGTAATACTATCACTGTAGGATGTCATTTACCTGAGAAAGTTATTATTATTGAGTCTCTAATGTTTATTTTCCCCTTAATATTGACTCAGCTAACCTTTATTGTTCCATGCATGTTTAAGAGTAAGCTTATTGGATTTCTTTTTTAAGAAATCCATCTGGAATTTTAATTGGGATACATGGAATATATAGATTAATTTGAAGAGGACTGACATCTTTATAACATAAAGTCATCTCAACCAAAAGCATGGAATATCTTTGTATTCTATTATTAGAATTTTAAAGTTTTCTCGATGGAAACTTTCTGCATTGTTGGCTAAGTTAATGCTTTATTCTTTGTTTTTATTGCTATTGAAAATGTTATTTTTATATATAGAAAATTATTGAGTTTTCCTACAGAGAGGAGAAAATAATTACATTTTCTAGTTAGTGATTGGTTAGAGAAATGCAATTGATTTTTATAAGTTGATCTCTATCCAGTAATTATGCTGAACTATTTTAATAATTCTAATAGTTTGTTTCTGTAGATTTTTTTTCTATAGACTATTCTATCATTTACAAATGATAGTTTTGTTACTTCCTTTCTAAACCTTAGACCAATATTTTTTTTCTTATAGCATTGGCCAAGTCTTCTAGCACTACTAAGTAGTGGTGCTAGAGGGATATCTTATCCTATTCCCATTTTTAAAGGGAAATGTATTTAAATTTCTCTACTAGGTATAATGTTTGTAGGTTTATGCTATATAATCTTTACCAAAATAAGGAAGCTTGCTAAGAGATTTTTTTATCATTATGAGTAGGCCTGAACTTTATTAAGACCTATTTTACAGGCATCCTTTTGCATAATCATATGATTTTTCTCTTTTATTAATTAATTCAGCAAATACTTATTGAGTACCTGCAAAGTGCCAGGCACTACTCTAGACCTTTGGGATATATCAGTTAACAAAACAAACAAAGATCCCTGGCCTCATGGAGCTTGCTTAAGTAATAAACATTATAAGTAAATATTAGAAGAGCTATAGAAAAATAAAAAGTGAAACAGGATAAGAGAATCAAGAGTATAAGAGATTGGAGTATGGGATGTAGTATTAAATAGTGCGGTCAAGGTCAGCCTCATTGAAAAGGTAAGATTTGAGCAAAGATGAGGTAAAGGAATTAGCTAAGTGGCTATCTGGGGAAAGAATATTTAGGCAGAAGGAACAGAGCAAATACACTTCTGCCTTTTGTATACAGGAAACAACAAGGAGGCTAGCGTGGCTGGAACAGAGAGAAAGAGGGAAGCAGAAGGTAAGGTCAAAGAGGTAACAGGCAGGCCAGATAAAATAAGGTCTTTTAGACTACAGTAAAGGTAGCTTTTGCTCTGAGTGATGCAGAGTATCATCACAGATTTTTGAGTAGAGGAGTGACATAATTGACATTTAAAAGGAGCAGAGGAGTGACATAATTGACATTTAAAGGGATCACTCTGACTACTCTGTACAACAGACTGTACAGAGACAGGAATAGAAGCAGAGAGACATGTTGGGAAGATATTAGAGATGATAGCAGTTGAATGAGGATGGTAGCAGTGGAGGTAGTGAAAACTGTTGTATTCTAGATATATTTGGGCAGATTTGATGTGAGTTATGAGAGAAAAGAGAAATCAAGAATCACTGCAATATATATTTTTAAAAATGTAATTCCAAAATGTGAGCCCTGGCTGACAGCAACATCAAAAAGTTGAAGAGAAAGTACTTGAAAAGGAAAAAGGAAAGGGTCAAATAGGTAGGAAGACAAAAGAATGTAGTGTCTTGGAAACCAAGTGAAGAAAGTTTATCAAAGAGTGTTTTTGATTAGTCAAATAAGATAAAAATTGGCTGTTGAATTTAGCAATATAGAGGTCATTTGTGACCTTAATAAGAGTTTTGGTGGAGTGATGGAACAAAAACCTGATTAGAGTTGGTTTAAAACAGAATGAGAAAAGAAGAAAGAATTAGTAAATGTAGAAAACTATTGAGTTTTGCTACAGAGGGGAGAAAAGAAATAGAATGGTAACTGGTGGGGTAAGTAGGACCAAGAGAAGTGGTTTCGTGGTTTGTTTGTTTGTTTGTTTGTTGTTTTTTTTTAAGTGGGAGAAATATCTTATTTGCTTGCTGATAGAAGTAATTCAATAGTAGTGAATAATTGATGAAGGATATAGAGAAGAATTGCTGGAGTAATATCCTGGAGTAGACAAGAGGAGGTGAGATCTAATTCATAAGGAGAAGAATTGGCTTTAGAGTGGATAGTTCACCTGTGGAAAAAGGTAGGAACGCAGAATGTATGGGTACAGATGTTAAGAGATGAGCTTTAAAAAATAGTGAAGAAAGCAAGTGCAAGTTCTCTTCTAATTGCAACATTTTTTCATAAAGTAGAATGCAAAACCAGCTGAGAGTGAGGATGGGAGTCTGTTAATATGGTAACTTGCATTGATAGATTTTATGATCTTGACCAATCCTTGAATTTTTGGGGATTAAACCCTTAATATATTTATAAAATATGTTTATAGATTCAGTTAACATCTTATTTAGGACTTTTCAAAGAAACAATTGTAAGTCAGATGGGCTTATGATTTTTTAAAAATCTCATATTGTCCTTACCTCGTTTTGGAATAAAGATTATACTAACTTCATTATATGAGCTGGACAGCTTTTACTCTTTTCCTGGAACAACTTGTATGTGATTAGAATTTGCTGTTCCTGAAAAGTAAGTAGAACCCACCTCTTAACTCATCTACGTCTGTCCTTTATAGGAGCTGATAACTATGACTACCCTTTTAACTTCTTTGAATATTGTTGGTATATTTAAGTTTTCTGTGTCTTCATGTGCCAATTAAGGCATCTTGTATTTTTCAAGGAATTTATCCATTGATTTTGATTTTTAAATGTATAAGCATTCATAATATCCATTTATAAAAATAACCTGTTATATCTGTAGTTCCTTTTTTCCTACAGTATTTTGTTTATTTTCATCTTTCTTTTTTTCTTGGTTAGTCTGGCTAAAGTTCTATTTTATTAATCTTTTTAAAGAACCAACTTTTGGTTTTCTAAACCTTTATATTGTTTTGGTTCTGTATTTTATTGATTTCTTCTTGCTGCTTTGGGTTCTTCTCTCTGTTGCTCTTTTTCAAATTCATTGATTTGAATACTCATTTTTAATCTTTTTTGTTTCCCAATGAGTACAGCTTGTTTCTCTTTAAATTCCCGCCCCCCAACCACCACCAATTTGACATGTAGTTTTCATTAACTCATCCCTAGTTGACTTTATGAAAAAGTTTCCTTCTAATTATCTGTCTTTTTTCCTCTTAAGTGAAAGGATGTCACATCTGATACAGGAAGCCTTTTCTACAACCAAGACAACATAATTCACTGTTTCCCTTCAGTGTACTGTTAATTATGATACATTTTAAGTGATCACATATATCTGTCTTAGATAACACTACTATTCTTTTAGTACATATCCTAAAGTTTTAATGTTCCATAGTTCCGCTTAGGCATTTATTAAATAAAAAGTAATTAAAGAGTGTTCTTATTAGACTCTAACTACAAGAGACAGAGATTCACCTAAATAACCTTTTTTTTAAAAAAGTGAAGATAGTTATTATAAAAACAAGATCTAGACCTGGAAGTTCTCTGGAAAGCCCAAAGGATCACATCAGCTATAAAAACCTCCCTTCTCTGTCTCTTTCTCCCTCCCCTCCTCCTCCTTCCCTCCTTCTCTTTTTCCCTCCTTCCATATTTTCTCTGTATTTATGTTCTTTTATAATTTTAGCTTGTCATAACAAGCTTCATAGTATCCTTTCAGTTGTGGTTGTCATTAACTCATCCTTTTCTTATTACTTCTTAGTTCTCATTTCAAAGAGAGGATATTCGATTGGGTCAACTTATTTTTTCACATGCCATGGATTGCTAGCCACTGTAGTAGATTGGTTTCTTTGGGGCAGGTGCCAACCTCCAGTCTGTTCAACTGTGGCTATAGGGTGAAGTCCCGTGATTCAGAACATGGCTGCCTAAAGGTTGCCTCTGCAGCTGTGGCCATAGGCCAATATATCCTAGAAGGGACTGTAGATGGGCAAGAGCAGTGACAGAAATGCAACAAGCCTCCAAATAATAACTTTCTGGAGTTATTTTCTTTCCAATAGTACTGAGTTAAGAGCAGTATAACAGTAACACTCAGTTCATTGAAAATATCACTACTTCTCCATTTCTTTATATTTCAGTGAAGAACAAAATGGTTTCTACTAACCACATACTTATAATATGTGCATAAAAAGACAACCTAATTTGAAAATCAACAAAGGATTTGAATAGCTATTTCTACAAAGTGGGGAAGGGAGTTTTTCATAAGCATATGAAAAGATGCTCAATATCATTAGTCATTAGGTAAACACAAATCAAAACCATAATTTAAAACCATTTCACATCTGCGAGGAGGCTGTAATAAAAAAAAATGGAAAATATCAAGTGTTGGTGAGGGTGTGGGGTAATTGGAACCCCAGTATATCAGTGGTGGAATTGTAAAATGGTTCAACCACTATGGAGAACATTGGTTATATCATTTGGTGGTTCCTCAAAAAGTTAAACATGATCCAGCAGTTCTACTCCTAGGTATATACCCAAGAGAATTGAAGACACATTCACACAAAAACTTGTATGTGAATATTCATAGCAACGCTATTCCTAATAGCCAAAAAGTGGAAACAACCCAAATGTCCATCAACTAATGTGGATAAATAAAATGTGGTATATGCATACAATGGAAAATTATTCAGCCATAAAAAGAGTGGAGCACTAATACATGCTATGACATGAATTAACGTTGAAAACATTATGCTAAGTGAAAGACACCAGACACAAGGCCATATATGGTATAACTTTATTTCCAGAATAGGAAAATGCATAGAAATACAAAGTAGATTAGTGGTTGTCAGAGGCTGGAGGATGAGAGAAATGGGAATGACTGCTGTTGAGTATAGAGTTTCTTTTTTTGGTGGTAGAAATGTTCTGGAATTAGGAGTAATGGCTACACAACCTTGTGAATATACTAAAAACCACTGAATTGTGTACTTTAAAATGCTGAATTCTATGGCTTTGAACAGTATCTCAATAAAATTGTTTTATTGCATAAAGTGCAAAGGTTTCTAAGCCTTTTTTATACAGGATAACACTACCTACAAGTATTTTAGTTAAAAAATACACATTGCTTTTAAATAACCATTTTATTATTTAATATATGATTACTTGTTTTTAATAATTAACTGATTTTAGTTTCAGTATTATGATTAAATTTTAATAAAGTAGAATTTTTTTCTTATCTCTCAACAGTCTTTACTTCTGCCTCTCAAGAAGAAGCAATAAACACTTTGGAGATGCAGTCACTGCCTGCGTACCGGTATAAAAAGGACAACATGCTACGTAATAGGACCAGAGAATTTTCCTTATCACAAGATGTCAATTCATATATTCGTGAGATTGTAGGATATCAGAAGAAAAATAAAAATAAAATTAAAACATTAAGTAAATTGTTTTGGGGGAATCATCCCCAAAGAATACGCAGAGGATACTCAGAAAAGTGTTGTCTTAAAGGATGTACAAAAGAAGAACTTCTTATTGCATGCCTTCCATATATTGATTATAAAAGCTTAAAGAAAGGAGAATCAGTTGTGACTGAGATATACTAACCATCATAGGAATTATACTAACTTAATAAAAGATAAATATGTTTATTTTAGTATTTATTTATTTGTAATTGTCCTTTTAGGCTCTCCGCTATGAACAACACCTGAATGTACTTGCAAGTACTTGACAGTACTTTATGGTGCTAATAGGAATCTTAGTATTTTCTTTGTTGACTCCTGTTTTTCATAATTTTGTATTTGAAGATGTTACTGGAGATGGCATGATTCCATGTAGACATCTAAGAATTACCTGTTCACTCCTGTCATTATGGTTGGAACTCTCTTAAGCTTCATTTACATGGATTATCAAATGTTCTGCATTCCATCTGCATGACACACAGACTAATGCCCATGACTATTAGGCTCACTCCAGTATGCCAGTACATCTATAGTACCAACTTAAAAATAACTAACCAACTACCACTCCCAGTAGGAGCTCTTATACTGTAATAGTAGGTATACTTTTGGGGGGCGGGGGAAGGGATCTAATGCTTTTCTAACCATTCTCTTTTCCCATAAAATAGTAGGTACATTTTTAATTCTTTGAGTTTTAATTCCCTTAGGTAACTGGTCAGAAATATGAAAGTTTCTATTGAGAATTTAAAGGGAGTTAAATTAATTTATTTTGGTTATAAAATCTAAGATACTCTGTCTTTGCTTGGAAGGTACTAATATAATTAAAGTGACACTCTACTCTGGTTTCGTCAGAGAAGAGTGTTGACCAAACTAGTAGTGTCAGCATCAGCTGGGAACTTGTTAGAAATGCAATTTTAAGGTCCCATCCAAGACCTACTGAATCATAAACTCTGGGTATGGGACTCAGCAATCTGTTTTTACAGGCCCTCGAGGTCATTCTGAAGTAGGTTAAAGGTTGAGAACCACTGTTAATAGAGTCACTATATGGATACTTTTGAAATCCTACTATTTATGTGCTTGTCTATCTCAACTCAATATAAATATTATATTGACTTTTTGGTGTTTTTTTTCCACTTGATGTCCATATATGAATTATTTTTAATGCTACAAATTAGAGCAATCTAAAGAATCCAAAGTGATATTCCTACTTTGTACCATTAATTAGTGGGTAAGCATCACTTGAAATCTTTTTCTAGTTTATTTCCCAAAAATGTGCTATAAGGTTCTCTTCAATTAAAATTTTTACTCTTATTGCACTCTGTTATTTCTTAGGACAAAGGTTTTTTTCCACATAGGTCTATTTCATAGACAATTATAATACATTAATGTTTTTTAAAAAATTTTTTGTGTCAGGGTATAGTCTACATTCTTATCTTTCTACATATAGGAAGCCATCTGTTTAGATACAAAATAACAGGTTATACATCATGGTCGAGTGATGGAGTAAGCCTGCTAGGCATTAGGTAAAAATGCACCATTGAGAATTGCCCATGCTTAGGCCAAAATATTGTGATATACTGAGCCAGTTTGAAGAATTATAGGTCTGTACTTCTAGTTTAAGGATAAAAATACAGTTTATCGACTTACTAGCATGTATACATCTAAAGTCCAAATTAGAAAATCATGAGATTAACCAAAGGTGTTATTTGAATAGCCATATACTTCCTTACACATTTTAATAATTTGTATGTTAAGGTGTATTTAATTTGCTTTTTGGCTTAATGCTTATTTTTGAATATCGGTAATTATGCTGTGATTTTGGGCATTTGGATAGAACACTTGCATTTTTCTTACCGACTCCTTAGAGAAATCCTGAAGCAGGAAACAACTGAATGAAAGCTGAGATGCTCTGATACTTAGCAACTTGCTGAGGCTTCTTCATGTAAAGTTACTTGATAGAGCTGGATCAAAATTTTAATCCTAGCATCTTGTTCAATACTCCTAATGACAATAAAATCTTGCACAGAAATTATTTATACATTTTTGTTTGGAGTGCATTTATTTGGCCTCCACTTTGTTTTGCTTGGCATCAGTATGGCTCTCAGGCCCCAAATCTCCTGTTTTTTATTCTGCTTTGTGATGCTGGGACTTGAATCCAGGGTAAACCATACTTCCTTTATTAGCTGGCTTCCTGTTTAGTTCTGCCAATGGGACACTAGAGAGAGACTCCTTCCCCTTTTGCTCCCTGTTTTTGTTAGCATCACCCCCACAGCCTTTCTGCACACTGGTAATGACATTTGGTTAGTTTTATCCTTAACTTACATAACCAGCTTCATCACCTTCCCTCAGATACCAACACCATCGGACTAGAGTCTCTTTCTCAAAGGTCTGAGGCCCATCTCTGTGGGTACCCTCCACCAAGTTCCTACAATCCAAGCACCAGCTACGTAGGACATTCTCTTCAGAGATCCGGATCTCAGCTCCAATGGTGCCCTTCTTTCAAGTTTTTAGGTTTAGGTTTTGATAATCTCAACATCTTTCCTTTGTTTAGGCATGATAGCTGCTTCCTAAAGCTTTTTTTTTTAATCTCCAGGTTACCTTAGTGTTTGACTTTTTCCATTTCAGTCCTCTAACACAAGTCAAACTAACTCTTTACATTAAAATTTCTGTTAAAATACCTGATGCAGTTTCTGTTTACCTGAGTGGGCTCAAATGATAAACCCCCGAGAGTGGTTCAGAAAGGTTTTGAATTGGTTTAGGGCAAGAACAGTAAATGGGTTTCATCTTAAATGGAAACTCCCAATAATTGGTACTGGTTTGCCAGTTTGCAGTCCGTCCTTCAAATAACGTATCACCTCACAGGCAGTTTAAGACCGCTTCAACAGTGTTCTTCAATTTTCCTGTCTTTTCTGCTATTTGTGTTATATCTTCCTCATCTATTACAAACCATACATTTTTATTATTTTGTTTTAAATAGTCAATTATTTTGATCCATACATTTTTAATGAGATTATTGCCATTGTGTACATTTTCTTTACTGATTTTTACATTGTCATGTCTGTCATGTAACCATCAAATATCTGTAGTACAATTTAGAACCTAGCTTCTTAAAATCAGATACTTCTGATCGCTATCATAAAGTCTTTTTACATTACAAACTCATAATCAGAATAAGTGGTAAATACACTTTCTGCAGTGCAAACTTCTCAGGTCTGCTCTATTACAGCTATCTGAAAATGTCATAATTGCTTCTAATAACATTTTATAATGTTACTTTATAATGGTACTTTCATAGATTTTCAATATACCTAATATTGGATATAAATAAATCAATATATATTCTATTTACCTGGTGACAGCAAAACAGGATTCATTGTACTTGTTTGTAGCCATAATTTTAACTTTGCAGAATATCATATCATCCATTTGATTAACTCCATTAAAGTCTTCTGAATCTATCAGTTGAAATTATTTTAGAAAACCAATATCCACAAATGGCATCTATTTATCCATAAAAATGCATGTCTGGGGCAGGGAGAGTCAAGATGGCAGGCTAGGTAAATGCAAGGTTTGCCTCCTCCCATGGCCGCATTAAAATTACAACCAAATTTAAAACAATCAACTTGGAGAATAGAAGAACACATTAAATACGACTGAAGATTTAAAGAAAAAAAAAAAACACATAGAGACAGGTAGTAGATGAGGAGATATGAAATGGGCTGGTCCCAAACCCGCAAGTGGCAGTTGAGTACCAGGCGGGATAGTGACTACAGAGGTCCTCCTGAAGGAGCAAGGGGTCCTAGCCCTACACAGGGGCTCCCCAGCCCAGGATTCCTGTGCCTTGAAGAAGAGTTCCCACAAAATGTGACAAAATGTAAAAATCAGTGAGGATTCCAAACATTCAGATGAGACTGAAGGAACCTAAAAGCCCAGACATCCCCCTTAGACTCACACATAGACTCACTTACTCACAGACACTCACCCTAGGTTTCAGTGGAGGGTCAGCAGCTCGGGAAGTGCAAGAGACATATGCGGAAAGACTGAGTTTGTAGCATGGAGCAAGGGCTGGAAGGACAGCTGCTATTTCTCCTTTGTCGGCTCCCCTTCAATGCTGTCTCCAGATGGGCACCGTCTTGCCTATGTTGAACATTCCCCACACACAGCCAATTCTGAATCTGTGCTGGCCCAGTGAGATTGGTTTGCTCCACCCTGTGACTCCCTGCAAACCCTCCCCACTCAACCCACAATTTGCTTGAGGCAAGCTCATTGCTCAGGAACCACCCCTACCCTGTGCTAACCACAGGTGGTGCATTCCACAGCTCTCAGCTCAATTGGCCTGTGCAGGGCCTGCACATACCAGTCGGTGATGGCAACCAGCGCTGGCCTACTGCAGTATCTCTTGAACAAATCTTGGGGGTTTGTGGCCCAAGATAGGCAGAGCTGGCCTCAGTGTGATCTGAGATTTTTGTGAGAGGCCACAGGCTTGGCACTGGCACCCAACCTGAATCTCCATTGGCCAGATGCAATCTACTTGCTTTACCCTGGCGATTCCCAGGGTCCCAGCCCTACCAAACTCGTGTACCACCTAAAGGCTCTTTCAGCTGTGGAGTCTTATGGGCAGCCAGCAGGCAGCCTCAGGACTTGGGGGTGCCCTGGACCATTTGCTAAACTGCCCAGGCCCATTATGGGAGGCAATCAGCCATGATTCACAGTGTGGTCTCTCACTTTTGCTGCAAGATCCAGTTCAGGCAGCAACTACCCATGAATCACTTTGTAGCTCCAACCAGGTTGCCCTGAGTGATCAAAGGCAGTGGCTTACCTTGGCCTGCCTGGGAACCCCTCCCAAGGGGCCACAGAACCAACATATCCAGAGGCTAGCATCAGACCACAACAGAGCATCACCTAATTAGCCCCACAAAGAGGCACATCCAAAGGGTAGTCTCAACAGGTACACAATCTAGGGCAAATCTCACTCCATAGGATCAGCCCCTACATAGCAGCTCATACCATGGGCATGGCCAAGCCTCCCAGTCAATCAGCCCGAAGGTCAATCCCATACACTGACATGCTAATAGCAATCAAGGCTTAGCTACAACACAGGAACACACAACTGACACAAAGAACACTCCTGGAGCTCCTAGCGCAGGTGATCAGGGAGACTACACCATAGGGCCACATATAAGCCCCCTGGC